TTCACCTTCCCACCACCCTGCCCGGGGCCACTGCCCACACCGTCCCACCACCCTGCCCGGGACCACTGCTATTTGTGTCCTAGATGACAGTGTCTTCTTTATTTTTTCATAGACTTATCTCTACGATGTGAGCTATTTACTTATCATGCTTGTTGCTTAATGTCCACCTCTTTTTAGAATTAGAGTTCTTCGAGATGGGAGAGGTTTGCTTTAGTCACTGATGAATCTCATAGTTTAGGGAATAGACACATAGTAGGTCCACTGTGTATTTTTTAAATGGATAAATGAATTCTGCATCAAGCTTTCCCTGCTCCTGTTTTCTATGATGCTGCACTCACCTCCTCTCTCTCTCTCTCTCTCTGAGCATTTCCGTCCTGTTTTGGTTTTCCTTTCTTAGTAATCATAGGTTTTTTAGATTCTTCCTTGACCTGTTTATATTAGCAATAACATAAGTAACTAAATATCTCTATCTGATGTTTTCTGAATTTCTCATAGGATTCAGGATAATGTAGACACAAAGGGGCTATATCATTAAGTATAAAATAAAATTTTAAATCAAAATTCTATTTGAAAAAGTCCTTACCTTTGTGTAGAGGACTTATAAAACAAGTCCTTTGCATCACGTTTCTGGTTTGGCTGTGCAGGGAGCTCTCCATCCTCCTGGAGGTATGAATAAAAAAGACCAGCCTTAAACGGGGTGGACGAGGCCTCGAGTCAGCTTGCTCCCTCTTCCTTTCTTCCCTTTTCTTCTTCGACAGCATCTTTGGGGTCAACTAGTATATGCTTCCCAGCTTTCCTCTGCTGCCTGGGAAATTCACATTTTGCATATATTCTCCTAATGATTAAGTTAAAATTCACAAAGATGTATATCAAAGTTAACATAAAGTCAGATTTTTATGAGAAAGCCCTTGAATATTTAATGTTGACAAAGACCGTTTAATTCCATAAAATTGCAACATTTAAAAAAACCTTCTGTCTTGTCTAATAACACAAGCACATTAGTTCTGAAATATTACCCTCTTCCTATCTTTCATCTCATTTTATCAAAACGAATTCATTGTTACTGTAGCCGCTGTTGTTGCCATCGCTGACGGCCCCTTACTTACATCCAGCACCACGGTGCCAGTCCCCCGCCTGCTCTGGCTCCCTGTGTCCTCCTTGGTTTTTCCCACCGTGGCCCTTGGTTCTGTTCTTTCCACTAAAGTTCAGTTTTCAGTAATTCTCTCACGGATGCGAACTTCTCTAGCCCTCTTTTTTAACTCATCCTCACGTTTGAATGATGTTCTAGACGGGCTAGAGGTCTAGTTTATGGTTATGATTATTTAATAACAAATACGTCCCATTGCCTTTGGACGGCACTGAGTTTAATTGCTTGCAAGTGTTCTGTGAGCTCTGCCCGCCCCCCTCAGGCTACAGTCAGGGTATCTGTATTGGGTTTTCTACAGTCCCAAGGTAATTTGTTTAGGAGAGGCTATATCTCTGTCATCTGTTTTCAGACTTGTGATGCTTCTTCAGCCTGAGAATTCATGTCCTCTGAGCTGGTGGCTGTCAGCCATGGCGTCCATCAGGCCCTGCTGCTGGAGGAGGTGCGATGGGGGTCTGGACTGGGCCCTACCAGCCTCTACTACTCAGTCCTCCCCCGAAGCAGAGCTGTCGGGGAGGCACAGGATAATGCAAGACACACGATGACCATGAAGGTCTGCACGGTGCCTGGCACGTAAGGCGTGTTTTAAAGTGGTAGCTATTTCGGCTCAAATTATAAACACCACAGACAATGAACTAATTTAATTACAAACACTGTGTCACACTCCCCGGGAAGAAGCCTTACTTTACAGGCCGCTTCCTCGTCGAACGTGTACGTGTGAGAGACTGAGCACGCTTCATGCCGAGGCCGGGGAGGAGCGACTCTCACTGGGCTGGTCCAGCCTGAAAACAAACAGGACACCTTCCCGTTACCTGCAGCGAACACGCCTTCCACCAGAGCTTCCTACGAGAAAGCTGAAATGTGTGCTGGGAATTAACTTTTCGGTGGGTTATCCAACAATTTTTCTCATCAGTGAGAACAGGATAGCTCTGAAATTTACATGTTAGATTGTTGTAATAGTGTAGAATTGCTTGTTATTTATTCCTCATTATTGGGAAATTAGGAATTATATTGAGACAAATGAAAACACACAACATAACAAAAGTCATGGCATTTAGCAAAAGTAGCACTGACAGAAATGCATAGGTATAAACCCTTACATTATAGAAGAAAGCTCTCAAACCAACAACCTTCATTTATATCTTACAGAGCTAGAAAAACAACAAACCAAACCCAAAGCTAGCAGAAGGAAGGAAATAATGAAGATTAGAGCGTAGCTACAAAATAGAGAAAATTCATGAAAGCAAAGGTTGGTTCTTTGAAAATATTAAAAAACTGACAATTAACTAGATTGATAAGAGAGAAAGAAGACTCAAGTAAAATCATAAATAAGGAAACTTTACAACTGATTTTACAGAAATAAGAATAATTATAAGAAACTAGAGGCCCGGTGCATGAAATTCGTGCAGGGGTGTGGTCCCTAGGCCTGGCCATCAATCGAAGCGCAAGTGTCTGGCGTGGAAGGGCAGGTCCCAGCTGACCTCTGGGCCCTGGAAAGCACCTGGGCCCCTGGGCCCCCATGTACCTCCCTCCACCTGAGTCACAGGTGCCCGAGTCCCCACTCGGAGCTGCGGTGAGCGCGGCTGGATGCTGCAGGCCGAGGCGCAGCATGGGCCTCTGGGCTGCCCAGCAGCACCGCACAGAAGCCAGGTGGGCAGTGCACTCTCTCCCTGCCGGCCTCGCAGACCAGCTCCTGCGCAAACCCACGGGAAGCCCAACTGGGCCCTGTGGCTGCAGCCTGGCTCACCCAGAAGAGGTTGCGTGGGTGCAGGGCAGGCTCCTTGTGGGCGCCCAGCACCTGAGCATAGGGGCTTCCCTGGCGCACAAGCCCTGGCATCCCAGGGGAGGGTAGCAGAGGGAGTGCGAGTGAGGTCGGCAGACACCCCACATTCTCACCACACCTCCGTCCCCACCACCCCCGCCCCCAGGTAGCCGGCAAGAGGTCACAGTGCGTTGCCAACACCCACCATGGTCCACACCGCCCCCTGGTGGTCAGCACATGTCATAGCGAGCAAACTCCTGGTCGAGAGGACAATTTGCACATTAGGCTTTTATTATATAGGACTAGTATGAAAAAAATAATTATATGAAATTACTGTACACCAAGAAATTGTATAGCCTAGATGAAATGGACAAATTACTAGGACCACACAACCTACCCCGTCTGAATCATGAAGAAACAGAAAATATGAACAGACCTGTAACTTGTAAGGAAATTGACTCAGTAATCAAATACCTACCCTAAAGCAAAGCTCAGGACCAGACAGCTTCACTGGTGAATTCTGCAAAATGTTTGAAGAAGAATTAATACTAGTCCTCCCCAGGCTCTTCTAAAAAAAAAAAAAATGAATGAGGAGGGAACACTTCCAAACTCATTCTATGAAGCCATCATTACAGGGATGCAAAAGCCAGACCATATCCTACTAAACATTGATGCAAAATCCTCTCCAGAATACTATGGAAGAGACTTTAAGTGCACACCAAGAGGATTATACACCAGGACCAAGTGGGTTTTATTCCTTGAATGCAAGAAATTGGAATTCTGCACTATTGGTGGGATGGTAAAATGCGGCAGCTGCTGTGATGAACCGGTGGTAGTTCCTAAAAAAATTAAACATAGAATCACCATAGGATTGAGCAACTCCACTCCTGGGTACATATTTAAAGAATTGAAAGCAGGTTCTTGAAGAAATATTTGTATATGTGTGTGCATAGCAGCATCATTCACAACAGCCCAAAGGTGAAGCAACCCAAGTGTCCATTGATGGATGAATGGATAAAAAAAAGTAGCGCATGCCTAAAACGGAAAAGTCCTCAGCTTTACAAGGGAAGACCATTCTGACACATGCTAATACATGGACATTGCTGTCCATGATGACATTATGCTCAGGGAAGCACGCCAGTCGCAGAAAGACAAACACTCTGTGAGTTTACTTATACGATGTACTCAGGGGACTCAAATTCATTGAGACAGGAAGCAAAACTGGTTTCCAGGGGAGGAGGAGGAGGAGGGAACTAGGGAGTTAGGGTTTAATGGGTAAGAGAGTTTCTGTTTTGCAAGATGAAAAAAGTTATGGAGATGTATTGTGGTAATGGTTGCACAATGCTGTACTTAATACCAATGAACTACATGCACTTAAAAATGGCTGAGAGCTGTGATGGAGCAAATGTTTTTGTACCCCCAAAATTTACATATTGAAGGACTGACCCAAAATGTGATGGTATTTGGAGGTTAGGCCCCTGGGAAGTAATTAGGTTTAGATGAGGTCGTGAGGGTGGGGCTCCCATGATAGGATTAGTGTCTTTCTAAGAGGAGAAAGAGATACTGGAGCTCGCTCTCTCTCTGCCATATGAGAAAACAACGGAAGGTTAGCCTCCTGCAAGCCAGAAGGAGGGCTCTCAACAAGAACTAACTTGATCTTGGACTTCCCAGCCTTTAGAACTGTGAGAAACAGGGACCTGTGGTTTAAGCCACCCAGTCTATGGTATGTCCTTATAGCAGCTCAAGCTGAGACGATGATTTTAAAAAGGTCGGAAGACACACAAAGAGTTACATATATTGCTATTAGGATGCTGAAGGTAGGAAAACCAGAGGTCGCAACAGGCAACATCTTTTTTTGTCTGTGACAAGGGTGATTGTGTCATCTGCTGCAATGAGAACAAAGAGAGCAAGCAATAAAGGGTTTGAATGTGATTAGGATAAGTCTGGAACACTTGATCGGTGCATAAGAAAGCAAGCCAACTCTGAGCAACACGGAACTACCGCATCAGTTAAATGTCTGACAAGCTTGGAATTGGGCAAGAAGCCAGCCATCCGATCGTTTATGACTTGGCTTTGGTATTTATGAAAACCCACTGGAAAGCATACTGGGCTGAGACACGATTAATTCTGAGAAGATGTGCTTCCTTATCAGAATGTCTTAGGAATCACATGAATTCAGGTTTGCTAAAAACTGAAGTTCTTATTAATAAATAATGACTATTTCCAGGATCTACAAAGTCACTGAAAGCCTAGGACAAATTATATTGCAACCAATCCCTGAACTCCTGGCATTATTCTTTGAAAATGTTAATAGCTAATAATTATAAATGCTATTAACTGAATGCTTTACCAGGCTCCAGAAATTATGCTAAGTATTTTACATGTTAACTCATTATTTCTTACACTTTATAAGAAAAGGAGTAATATTGCCAATTTAAGTGTAAAGTGACTGGAAACTCTAGACTTTGCTTAACTTTATAATATCTAACACTTATTGGTTCATGGTTCATTCCTTAATGTTAGGCATGTTTACATGAATTACACTAAATGGCCCTCACTATAATCTCATGAAGTATTTTTACTAGCATGTGAACTTATTTTACAAACAAGGATGCGTGGACATAGAGAGGTTAGTAACTAGCCCAAGGTCATAGTGAAAGTCAGCTTTGTGCCTGGATATGAGCCCAGACTGTCTGACCCTAGAGCCTATCTTCTGAATTCTGTTTTACTGATCCCGTAGCACAATATGGAGGCTGGATACACTCTGTACTCGGTTCTGAGTTGCTGGTACAACCTCTGTTAACCCTAGTTTAGTGGGAAATTAGCTTTAATTTCTTAAACTTGTAATTTGTTGAAACACATTTCTTAGAAAAACTTACAGAAACAGCCCAACCTGAGGCTGGGGTTGTCTGCTTACAAGAAAAGTGGCCTACTTGCCTACAATGGGACCACTATAAAAAATGAACTCTGTTCTCTTAAGGAAGAATCCTCGACAATGAATACTGTCATACACTAAAACATTAGCAAAAGATTGAGCTCCAGGATTTGCTGACAGGCTAGAAAAGTAGTTGCTAGTTCAGATCAGGGCAATGTGCTGTCTGAGATGGACCTGAACTCACCACTGGTCCCCTCATGCACTTACCTAAGACAATTCTGCACTTTAGATAGTATTTCTTTCTTGGTAATACTGTTTTTCCCTAAGTAGTATTTCCAATGGATTGTAAAATAATTAAAAACTGGTAGTTGAACCTTATTTACACTCTCCATATGAAAATTCCAAACGAAGGTATTTCCCTAAGCCCTCTGTTAAGTCAACAACTGGAGTGCATATTAAAAGTGTAATTCTTATCCTATGCTTACTAGTATATGTCCCCAAATTGCTCTTTCTGGTTCAAATGCGGGTACCTGGAGGGTAGGGCTCAGAAACATGATATTGTGGCGTTATTTCATTCCCTTTACCGTTTTTCTTACCCCTTTTTCCAGTCTCAATTACCTATGGCTTCTCTCCATGCAGTGGCAGGAACCATGACTCCCCACTGCTCCGCCATATGCTGCTGCCACTGTCCCTCCCCCACTGCCTGCTTAGGCCTCTGGTCTGGGCTGGGTGTGGAGGAGAAGCAGTGCTAGAGGAAGCTCAGCATCTCTTGACGCCGTGTTTGGCCTTTTCCCTTCCACATGCTCAAAGATGTTAGTCTCTTTGCACTTCCTGTCTACCAGACACACTCCCACACAGGAATATTTCTCGTGGCTTTCCTTTGCAAGTGTCAGCACTGCTGGCCAGGCTGGCAACATTCTCTGGGAGTGCCGACATAAGGTACAGCTTGTCAGGAGGTTCATCAATTGTGCCTTCAGAGCTGTGTGAAGCTATTTCTGCAGGGGTTGCTTCTCAGCTCCTGTTCTTACCAGACGCCAAATTTCACTTTCAACTACTTTCCCATTTCAGCCCCTTCACCTAACTCTCGCATAACCATCAGATTTACTTCTTCCAGAGAGATAATGCGGCATGCTACACAATTATCAACGTCAAATAGAATTTGGCTTGTGATACAATTAGGTTATCTATCCTATATAACAAAAGCCTAACATGCTAAGTGTCTGACCGTTCAACCAGTCACTATGACACACACTGACCACCAGGGGGAAGATACTCCAAACAGTAGGCTAGCTTGCTGCTGGGGTCTGCTTGATCGGGACTGGGAAAAACAGGCTGGACATGCCCTGGACCCCTCCCGTGGTCCCTCCCCAGCCCCAATTGTGCACTGGTGGAGTCCCTCGGCCTGCCCTTCACCCTCTCAGGATCCGGGACCCCTCGGGGGATGTCAGAGAGCTGGTTTCAGCCTGATTCCTGCAGGCCAGGCAAAGGGACCCCAACAGTGCAAGAATCCATGCACTGGGCCTCTAGTATTTATATAATAAACTAGAAGCCTGATGTACGAAATTCGTGCAAGGGGCTCAGCCCTTGCAACCCCAGCTTCATCTGGAAGGTCATCTGGAAGGATGTCCGGAAGGTCGTTTGGTCTAATTAGCATATTATGTTTTTATTATTATAGATTACCTGACATGTAATTTGTGTTGGTCACTTATACTAATGAATGCACTTTTAAACACCAAATATTATTTTACAGATAGATTTATAAAAGGCTTATCATTTTTACTTTTTCCTTACAATTTATAATTTAAAAATTATTTGGTTCTTTACAACTTTATGTTAAATTATCTACTGAATAATGAATCTTATATCCATGCTCCTTCTCCCTGGTTTCAATGTTTAAAAATTATAAAGCCAATGTTACTTTATTTACCTCCAAGTCTTGCTCTGATGACAGAATCTGAAGTTGCCCTGGAATTCCACTTTCTGTCTTGTTTTAGTTCTTCTAATAAAATTTTTTGCCTTTTTATCGTTGTTTGAAATCCCGTATCTGGCCTGGGAACTCGTTGTTGAGGTTTCACGTCACTCAAATCCACCAGACTTGGGATGGTTCTGCCAATGCCAGGCTTTAAATCAGCGTCGCCACCAGGACTCATGAACCCCGAACAGGGATCACCTAAGGGTACATCATCACGGAGTGGAAATAACGGGTAATCTGGCCCATGTGGTGGGGGATAAGGATAGTGTAAATGATAGTCTGGTACGAATGAAGGGGGGTAAGGGTGAAATTTAAGAAAAGCAGGGTTGCATTTCTTTTCCGTTCTCTCACAGTCATGTCTGTCCTCAATTCCTTTCACAAAAGGCATGTTCATTTTTCTTAAGAGATTATAGTAGTGTGGGTAATCTGCATTCTCAACCGCCTTTGCTCCTGAAAGAATGGACCGTTCAGAGATACTTATCTTCCCAGGTGTGTACTGTGAATGTATATCCATAGCTTTTCTTAGAAAATTGGGTGACTGCAAATAAAGTGTCTCTGATGACTCCTTTCTCTTTAACAATAAAACATATACTTCCAATAGTTGAGAACTGGTTAGTTTATCGTAACAGTATTGACTTGGCTTTCTAAATGTCGACAAGGTAGGGTTTTTGTTTTTTTCTTTTTGAAGGTATTTTCTCTTGACCAAAGGACGCACAGGGCGGTAACGAACCGGGGCAGGAAACACAAACAGAACAAAGCCCTTGTTGCTTAGCAACAGCTAGAACGCAGACACCCTGGGTCCCTCATTTCTTCCTCTGAGAAGTGACAATACACACTGTCGTTGGGCATTTTGTCTTCAGTTGCTGGAGGCTTCCTTCTTGAATGTATTTGCACCAACCGAATAAAATGTTATTTCTAGCGACTCTGTTCCGATTGAGTTGACCTTCCCAGTTGCAGAAAGCAGAGCCATCATTCTCGCACGTCCCGGCTATAAATGCCCTTTTAGGCTGACGGGTGGCTCCATAGACACTTTCTCAGCTCCATCGGGAAAGCCTCCCTCCCAGGCCGGTGCTGCTGCGTGGAAACCATGTCCCATCGGGGCGGCCACTCTTCCTCCCGCGGCCTCCTCCTCCTCCTCCTCCTCCTCCTCCTCCTCCTCCTCCTCCTCGGAGGGGGGGGGGGGACCCTGCTTGCCGTCCCACCGCGTGTGCGTCGTACTTGCCTCCCCTTAAGCTCCAGGGAAGCACCGTGGCTGCCATTCCCGGGGCCCGCCGTCCCAGCGCCCGGTGCTGACCCGCAGGCCGCTACCTGTGGTGCAGGCCCGGCCGCGAGGCTCCGGCAGCCATCAGCCCCGGGGGCCTCTGGGGCCCAGCAATGGCCGCAGCGGGAAGGCGGCTGCAGTCGGGGCTGCTCCCTCGGCTCCAGAACCTGCTGGGGCCGCGTGTTCCCGGGGCCACGGTGCCTGGCGCCCAGGGCCCCTGCGCAGGCCAGCGGACCGAGG